CGCCGTGGTGTCTACCAACAACACTACAAACGCTGAAATTTTGAGGGAATTAAAGAACTTGAAATCTGAATTTAATAGTTTCAAATTGGATCTTGATACGGTGAAAAGGGACACTCACGATACAGTGGATGCGGTGCGGGAGTTAACGTTGAGTTGGACCAGTTTGGAAACGCGAATAAATCTCATCGAAGAACGAATGGGCGAACTGGAACTGAAAATAACTAAAATCTCCACCGACTGTGACAGTTCTAGAGAGGAAGTCGCTCTTCTCAAACATAATCATAACCTGCAAGACCAGTTCTCGCGCTTGAACAATGTTGAAATTTTAGGAGTGCCAAGCAAATCAGGCGAAAACCTACACAACATAGTGAGCGACATTTGTGCAGTGACGGGTTTTCGGCTTGAGCCCACCGACGTCGACACAGTTCATCGAGTTAGACAATTCGCAACTCACGACGGGCAGGCCCCCCGGCCCCCGGCCATTGTGGTACGTTTTACCCGGCGCAGACGCAAGGACGAGTTGCTTGCAGCCGCCCGCGCGCGCCGCACGGTGACCACAGCCGATATCAAGCTAGCCGGCCCCCAGTCCAAAATATTTATCAACGAGCACCTCACTCCATCCAATAAGCTGTTATTAAAACGTGCCCGCGAGTTAAAAAGTGAACTGAATTATTCCTATTTGTGGGTTAGGGACTGTAAAATTCTTATGCGTAAACACGAAAAGTCAACCATTATTCGCATTTCACAAGAATCAGATTTGTTAAAGATTAAATGACTAGTTCTACGTCAATATACTATTTCTAGAATAACATTTATGTGCATTATGAAGACTCTTTGTTATCAATCATATAATAGATACTGTAAACGTATGTCAGTGCTCATCCCAACCCATAGTATAAAACCATTAGTTATTACCTACGTTACCTTGCGCTATTTATTATTTGTTTTCACTCAATTCTTTATATGGTAGATAATAGCTTAAATTCGTTTAATATTTACTTCCAAAATGTGCGGGGCCTACGTACAAAATCTAATTTATTTTTTGCCAATGTTCTAAAAAGTCATTTTAATATAATATGTCTCGCCGAAACGTGGCTTACGAAAGATTTTAAAGACGCTGAATACTTTAATAATAAGTACAGTGTTTATCGTAAGGATAGATATGACACGGTAACGAGCGGTGAGACGGGAGCCGGGCCATCGCGGGGCGGTGGTGTGCTGATCGCGGTGGAGCGGGGGCTGCGCGTGCGCCGCCGCGACGATTGGTGCTCGTCACAGTCGGCCGAGGAGCTTTGGGTGAGCGTCGACGCGTGTAGCGTGCCGCTGCACCGTGCTCCTCCGCGATCACCGCATACACGAAATTACAAAAATGTTTTTCTGCACATCGCTTGTTGTTACTTCCCGCATAATAATAATCATTTGGCCTCGTTACAAATGTTTTTTGAAAACGCCGCAAAACTTATATTAGACAACCCTAATGATGTTTTTATTCTTCTTGGAGACTTTAATATATCTAATGCGATTTGGGAACCGAGTAATGACGTTTGTACTTATTTTAATTTATATACAACACTAAACGACACTAAAGTAAATGCCTTGATGGACTTTATGAATTTTAGTAATATCCGCCAATTTAATAATTGTCGCAATATAAACAATCGGGTTTTAGACCTCGTCTTGAGTACTATAAATTGTAAAGTAAAGCCAGCTAATCCTACCCTTGTCTTTGAGGATCTCCACCACAAGGCACTCGATATTCGGCTTTCCGTCTGTAATATTCGATATATTGCCGAGAAAAGCAGAATTAAACGGTTATATCATGCGGCCGATATTGACAGCATAAAAAGAGAAATTGCCAGCGTTAAATGGGTTGAAGAATTATCATCGCTAAATATTAATCAATCTGTAGAATATTTTTATACATTTTATAATAATCTAATGATTAATTTTGTTCCATCCCGTGTTGCATCAGTATCTACAAATTCCCCCCCTTGGTATTCTAAAGAGTTAATAAAAACTATACGTAGAAAATTAAAAATTCATTCTAAATGGAAACGTTACAAAAACCCCCGTGATTATTTAGATTTCAAATTCTTACGTGCTAAAGAAAAGTTGTTACAAAAACAGTGTTATACTAATTTTATCAATTTATCGGAAGAAAATATTTGTGCTTCACCTAAATATCTTTGGTCGTATGTAAAATCTAAAGAAGGCGTAAACAATATCCCTACTTATATAAATTACAATAATTTTACTTCTGAAGATGGTGATACCATTTGCAACATGTTCAATGATTATTTTAATTCGGTTTTTGTTCAACATGATAATCTTAGTTACAATTATCCAAACTTAAATCATAATTATGCAACTGCAAATTCTCAGACACATCCTTTGGTAGACATTTCCCATTTTGATATTCCCGAAGACTTGGTTAAGGAACATTTCGACCAGTTAGACGTTAGCAAAGGTCCTGGTTACGACGATGTTCACCCATTCCTAATTAAAAAACTTAGCTCTGAACTCTCTGTACCTTTAACCATAATATACAATAAATCAATTACTGAAGGCTGTTTCCCAGATATTTGGAAAAGAGCTTTGATAACACCTATATCAAAGGGTGGCGACCCTCATGACGTCAAACAATACAGACCCATATCTAAACTTAGCATACTCGGTAAGATTCTGGAGAAAATACTAGCTAGACATTTATGTATATTACTGCACAATCATATTCCTAATGAGCAACATGGTTTTGTTCAAGGTCGTAGTGTTAGTACTAACTTAATTTCCTTTACAGATTATATTCTAAAGTCCTTAGCTATAGGACAACAGGTCGATGTTGTGTATGCTGATTTTTCAAAGGCCTTCGATAAAATAAAACATTCTCTTCTTTTAGACAAGCTTTTGGGGATCGGCATTCATGGCAATCTTCTACGTTGGATAGCTTCTTACATTAATAACCGTAGTCAGGCTGTTGCTCTGAAAGGATACCGTTCCAGGTTCCTCCCGATACCCTCTGGAGTACCTCAAGGATCCCATTTGGGGCCCTTGCTATTCACGATTTATATATTTGACCTTCACACTTGTTTAGCAAACACAAGTCATTTGCTTTATGCAGATGACACAAAAATATTTAAAGTCATAAATTCAATTAATGACTGTATTGACCTTCAGAGTGATCTTCAGTCTTTTGAAAATTATTGTTACGAAAATCAATTGTTTCTCAATGTAGAAAAGTGTAATACAATAACCTTTTGTCGCAAAAATAACCCCTTAAAATATGACTACAAATTATTTGATAGGACCTTAAGTCGAGTAACTTCTATTAGAGATCTTGGAGTCACTTTTGATTCCAAGTTACAATTCAATGTTCACATTGATAATATAGTGTCTAGAGCTTTTAAAATATTGGGTTTCATATTAAGAATTTCCAAACCTTTTAAAAAGGCTACAACCTTAAAAATACTATTTAACGCATATGTACGTAGTTTATTAGAATTTTGTAGTGTAATTTGGAGTCCCCAATATAATAATCATATTAATAGAATTGAAAAAGTTCAAAACAAATTCTCAAAATCGTTAGATTATAAATCAGGTTCGAATTTCGTAAATTATGAATTGAGTTCCAACAGACACAACATCAAGTCACTAAGGTCACGCCGTGACTATTTAGATGCTATTTGTCTGTACAAACTAATACATAGCAGTATTGACTCTATACCTATCCTCGAGAAAATCGGTTTTAAAGTCCCCCGCCCTTCTTCCCGCATCAAGGAAACGTTTCACATTCCCACAGCGAGCACTAACTACGTGAAAAATAGTTTCATTATAAGAAGCTGTGATTTTTATAATAAGAATTTGAATTCAGTCGATATTTTTTCTAGTGGTATCTTTAAATACAAAACTTGTATATCTAAATTAATACTTAAGTCGTAGTTACAAAATTATTGTTATTATTTTTTAGATATTTTCTTTTACTGTGTATCTTGTTGTATTTACGTCACGTATATTTAATTAAGTGAAACTTTAGGTCTATTTGTTTAACATTTTAAGTAATCCATTGTTTTTGTTGTTTTTTTTTTTTCAAAAAAAAGTTTTTTTAAGTGACTGTTTGTTTCCTTTCCAAATAAAATAAAAAATAAAAAAAAAAAAAAAATCCGAAGCCTTGGGCCCAAATTTTTTGAAAAGGGTTCCCCTTTTTTTCCGTAAAAAGGGGCCCCCCCGGGGGGGGGGGGCCCCAAACAAATTCGACGGAACACGTTTACTGCGCTCTAGACGTAGCCGTATCGGATATTGTGACTGTCATTCTGTACGCGAATAAATATATTACTTGTCCTAATAAACGATTAAAGGCCTTCCTCAGCCCCATTACGCAACAAATACAAATAAATTGGGTAAAAGTTGAACGAAAAGTAAACACATTTTATGTACGTCCCTGGGTCATCCAACATCGAACCTACGTACTCGTAAAATAAAACTCTTTTTTTTGACGGAAGTTTATCGAATAACGTCCGAATCATTGCGTGTTTCCTATTTTGATTAGCAACTTAAGTAGTTCAATAACAAAACACTTTTATTATTTCTTACATTTTTAAACTATGTCAAACCCACAAAAACACATTTCCACTAAAAGCAGTAATTCAAGACTGAACTGCCTTCATAATCTCGCCGGGCGTTTCCTAGCGCAACAGAGTAACGAAGTTAGGCCGCGAGTTGCGCTTATCTTAGACATAGTTCGAAGGAAAATGCAGAAGAAATTGAATTAGGAGAGCGACGTTAAGCCGCTGTGTCACTCCACGCGACCCATAATATTAATAAGCAAGAATGCTTCTTAGCCTTAGTCATGAATAAAAAAAAACTGAAATAAAAGCTGAGACGGATCCCCGAGAGCGGCGGCTGCGATCCTTTATCAAAGTATGACAGGCGCGGCTAAGTTGGGACTTTCAAATTATTTGAACCGACACCCCCCGCACCTCTCGCGCCGCCTAAACCCCGCAGCTTCCTTAATGCAGAGCTAAAACAACTAAGTTCAACGACTCGTCTGAGGCCGCCCGAAACTCGTTTTGCGCTCCGTCGTGCCGATACGTTTGGGGACCGTTACAATTTTCTAAATAAACATACTTCAAACGCGCATTACAAATGTAAACAGACGCGGTGACGTGTTTTGTACCCGAAGGTTAGGCCGGGCCTTCGACGGCAGCAATTAGGCTCCGACCTTCGGAGCTTAATAGAGTAATGTATGTATAGAAACGGGACCCTCGCCCGGTATTTTTCCCCGAAACAAGGTGTCAAAGGAGCGAATACAAAAGAGCGGAGAAACTTCGCCTCTCCACGTCGAAACATCCGGCCATTGTGCTCCCGAGCCATCAATCTTTCTAGTTTTACGAACACGGAAATTACCTGTCACTTATTTGCGCTAATGCTACGCTGGAATACGATCGCCACATAGACATATATTAAACAATTCCCATTACGAGCCTCTATCTGGGTTAGAAGAACAGTTTCGTTTCGTAGCCTCCTAAGTTGCGCGCGATCGGGAAAGTGCCCGATTTCCCGCGCCATTGAACCGCTCGACGAAAGCGAAAACTCGGAAAACTTTTCGCATATTCCACGCTCCACTAACGATCCGTTTCATTAGTCAATGACAAAGCCCCGCTTTCTAATAACCTTCCTTAGCGCTCCGTTTGGATAAATGTACTAAGCCGAGTTCTTAGAAGAGAAGAATTCAAGCAGCATTTTTATTATAATATATGTTACTTGTAAAACTGTAGGTACGCTAAAGTATATTACTTCAAACGTTTTTTATATTTTAACTGAAGTTAAAAATTTTTGATTTTAAGATATTCGTTTCCGGTCTGAAGCGACTCAATGAATCGATCCGACGAAATGTCCATACGCGGTGAAGACCTTCGCCGTCGGCTCACAATGACCGTCGTCGCGTTTCTCTTCGCATTATTAGCACGAGGGTCTTAAATATTTCGTCGCAACGTAATATGCGAATTTTAATTCGCAAAGTTAAGTATTTAGAAGTTCCGCTGCGCCAGATAGCGGATTTGACCCAAATTCGTAATTATTCACCTCCGATATGGGGCGCTCTGTTAAGTCTGTATCGTTTTGCTTTCTGAACAGCAACCGCGCTGGGCTGTCGCGCTAAATCCTCATCTGCCTCGTCCATTAATGCGTATCGTTGTGGAAACGTTCGACGAAGAGACGAAATAATTTTTCGAGCGACTACGTCATCTGTCGTACCCTCGGAGACCTCAGAATTTGGAGTTTGATGTATTCGCACGGTACAATACAGCTTTGTGCTCGGGAAACGATTCACATATTGCCTCCATATAAGGAATCTTATTTCCGCGCTCACGTCAAATGTACCGGCAGAGCGGGGAGAGTCGGGGCGGGCGATATATCACCGGATCAGGTGCGCTCGCTCGTAAATAATGCCACAAAATGAAATTACAAGTTTAGTCGCGATGCCAAGTATTCGGATGCGATCGCTACATCCGAATGAGGATCGGTTTATTTACATGTCGGTAGTCTAAATAGCATAAAGGGACTCCACGTTCGGAAGTATAGTGTCGGAAACACTTTTAAGAAATTCAAAAAAAGTGAACCTTTGCAAAACTACAATTGTAAAATGCTAAGACGTATCAAAATATTTATATTATTATATCCAGTTCCGAAAGAAAACAAAATAAATTAAATATCTGGAACGATAATCAAACATTCCGGACTATAAGCCGAAAGCTACAAACGCCACAATTACGTCGCTAGACTGTAGTAGAATTCCAAGCATTCAGTGAAGTGGACTACGATAAGGCACAGTGTCTCGATCGGGAAGTGTTAGCCGTGGGGTGCGTGGCCTTCGTTTCCGACAAACTGCACAAGAGCGGCGGAAAATTTCTTAAAATTATAAACCGATATTACACGCTTGGATATTCCTCGAGAGAATCCGCTCCTCGGATTCAATTACACGAAACCGTTTGAAACTGAGTCCGGTCTGTAATCAACAGTTTATAAAGCTGAAGAGTTCGTTTGTGTTAGAACGAATCAAAAGCTAATATCAAAAACTACGGACTCGAATTGAAATTCTTTTTGTTTTGACTAGAGCATTAATTGGGATTATAATACATTGTCTTGTGACTAATAGGAGTAAAGAAACTGCGGGAAAAGTGGAAATAACGGCGAAAATTTTTCTTCTCTTTGGGTTTCCCCTGCGGGGGGACCCCCCGAACCCCCCGGAAAGGGCCCCGCACCCCAAAAAATTTTTTTAAAAAGATTTTTCCTTTTTTTTACCCCCCAAAAAATTAGGAGGAACCGGGGAAAAGGGGGACATCAAAAACGGAGTGAATAAAAAAACATGCTTGGGAAAAGCTGAAACAAGGAAACTCGTCAAAAATGAACTTTAATAACAGTAAGGGGTACGTACTGTTATCCAGCCACAATTTCATTATATGACTTCGCTGGGCGAGTTGGAGATTTACTAAGTAGCGTATGCGCTAAGGCTTAACCTTGACAAGGGACTTCAACGTGCACCTTGTCGTTACTCCATACAATCGTCCACTTCTAATAAATATAACCCTTAGAGAAAACTATTGACCTAATTATACATAGATATAATTTGATAACCTTTATTGAAAACTTTATTATTATTATTATTTTGTTTTACTTGTTATTGCACATGAAGGCACTATACAATATAAAAATCGAAAATAAATTGAAAAAAATTTTTTGCTGCAAAGCATAAGACGTAATTTCAACCTTAATACGCAAGTGTTAAGGTTGAAATTACATTGCGCGAGAGGTGCATGTATCAATAAGTTGAAAAAATTCGACGATGAGGTGTAGGACGCGGTAGCTCAATTAGTAGAGCAAAGAGCACGGAAAGCTGACGATGCCGGTTCAAGTCCTGCCCGAATCAGAAAATATTCTCAATTTATTTTCGATTTGTAAACCTTTATTGATTAAGAAAGGATAGCCCACATACCCTTGCACTCCTACTCACGAAAATTGAAGCCGGCTAAAATGTGTTAGATTTGAAGACACATTATGTAATTTACCGACATACGTTGTCGAAAACAAAGTAGGTCTCCGTTCTTGTTTTATATACAAGAGTACGAGTACATTACAGCTACTTAAGTAATCTATCACGTGTGATACGATCGATAATGCGTTTCCAATAATGAATAGTTTTTGATAGTCAAATCACTGTTCGGTCTGTTCGGTACGAGGGGTCGTAATTTCGCCCTCGAAACCGCCAATTCGTTGTCTTAGGATGAATTTTAAATGGAAAGAGGCGAAACGCCCTCCGGAGCCGATTCCCTTTGAACGAAGGCAAACAGGCGCCGATTAAACAGACATTTAATTGATGATCAATGTTTTTTCAGGAAACATTCTCCCGCCAGATTACACTCACGCTCCTGAAGTTAAACCTAAAGAGAAAGTTACATTACGAGACCGGAAAAGAGAAATATAGTGTTTTACTAATATGAAATAGTTTACAAAAAAGTAAAAAATAGTAATAGTAGAAAAAACGTCGGGCCATACTAAAAACTAATTGTAAGTTAGTTTACTAATATGTTTCGCGTTTTAAACCGTAAAATTGTTTAATTTTATAATAGATGAATCGAAATCGAAATTTAATTATTATTCCACCTTCCATCGAGTTAACCTTGCTCTGTCTTAGAATTAATATAAACCTTGTTAAACAACGCTACTTACAACAATACAGAATCTAGTATCGATTGTGTTAATTAATCGTTTAACTTGAGCTTCCCTAATAGATCGGATACGATACTAGATTGGCGAGCTGATCGATAGCTGAGAATATGAGAGGTAATGTAATGTATCGTTGGATGGTCCCCGCCCCCCGTCCCCGAGCCCCAGCTCCCAACTGACGGATAGCGCTCATCTCGGTTTACACATCCCCTGATTATTGTGCACATTTTTTTCTTATGTAACGACATCGCAAGCTCATCATTTCTATTACTTTGAGGCTTTCCCTGGAAATAACATTGTTCAACATGCAGCCGCACGACGTATGGTGATGTTTCAGAACGAAGTTTTTAGTTAGCAATATTTACAACTCCGATCGTTAGATTCGTGTAGAATAGGTTAGGTGAACGTCCGTCTTCTATGATTCAATAATTATATCTTAGTAAAATATCATTCACATTGTATGCAAGACATGAAAAAATTCGTAACAAATTTCGGTCTCGGTTAGATAAAGGCCAGTGAGAGTTAACAAAAGGAGTCGCGTGGAACCGGTATTATACCCACATTACCGCTATTAAACGCACCCTTCGTCTTTCACTGTAATTCAAATAGTTATTCTATTGAAGAAGTCTTATGATGTCCGCATTGCCTGCATTGCATGTTGGAGTAGCTACGAGTGCTACGTAGTGCTACGGCGTAGGAGTCGACGATACGAATCCGCGGCATCTTTAAATATAAATCAACTCAAAAATAATTTTAATTTATTTTCGATTCTTAATCACTACAATGCTATCGTGTGCCATAACATGTGAAAATATTCTAGTTTTTAAAGTACATGTCATTTTAAATCTAAAAACCACTGAACGACTCTCAATGAACTGGTCCTAGATCTACTAATTAAAGTAAAAGTCAAACATAAATGATATATAGTTATATAAAGTAGACATATCAGTTAAAGTAAGAAGTAAGAGTGAACCCGTCACTCCAGGTTTACGATTTGCAGGATTTCGAGTGCGAATTATTATTTTCAAGTCGACCATTTAAGTACAAATACATCGGTCCGAGAGAAGATAAAAACAATAAATTCGCCGCAAAATTAGCCTACAGCAGTGGACTAGCGGTGGGGTATTATTTTATTTATTTTAGGAGAGGAACGCGAACTACATAAAGGTTGTTTGTGAGTCTCCGGAAGTAGCGAGCGGTTGCGAGCGGATATACTACTACTAAATAAAACTCACCACTTTACCTTTTATATTTTAACGGGCTTTTGGTGTTTCCGTAATTCTCTGGAGGTGTATTGTCTCACCGTTGTACTTATTTTTATAGATGATAATAGGAACGACATATATACAGTATCACGTTCGTTAGCTTCCAAGAGAGCTATTAATGATTTTAAAGAGATTGCACTATGTGGTGTTAGGACGTAACATTGCGTGGGGAAAGGGACGATCAATCGTGGCCTGTAACTATTCCCTTTGGCAGAATCTGGAATTAGTTCGTTACGGGGGTAAAGCGCGATCCGATAAAGGAATCAATTTCATGACCGAATCCGGCTTCCGGTAATTTGCTAACTGCCCTCCATCACGCATTCCGACAGTTGGCTAACTCGTTACAGCGGAGTGGGGCCTTCAAATTCTACCTTATTTTGCAAACGCCAAATAAGACAAGGATTAACCCTACTTTGAGTAGCAATGTTATTGACAATTACAAGAGGGATGAAAAACGATCCGGCGATTCACCGAGCCAAGCTGAGTCTTAATTATCGATTTAAAGCGATGGACATCCCGATACGGGCGACTCCGTAATAGTTTCGTCAACAAGCCACGATCCCGTATTACGATCGCTTCCGCGTCCCTGCGCTCGTCCGCATCAGACGGCGGAGAAGCCTTCTGCTCCACTGGCCCGGAACATTCCGCGGCGCAAACTGACCCGCGCCTCTGCGTTACGATGACGTGTTAGTTCCGTGTTGCTGCTAGATGCGTGTAATATCACAATTTAAATAAATTCCGATCGATTCAAACTATATCTATATCATACATAAACAAAGACCTTTTATAAAAGCGTCCAAAAAGCTTTAACGAAATTAATAAAATAAGTAAGCAAAGATAAATAAACAGTATGTATTTTAGTGTATTACATGCTTTGCTTTATCAGAGGTGATTATAGATACAGTTTTATGGGAGATAATACAATAAAAAAACAAACAAAAATAAAAAGTAAAGAAAAAATTACTGACGACTGAAATAAATTATTTCAATACGATGGTCGATTGGTAGAACCCGACTGAAGCACTTATTTGAAGCTCGGTTATAGTACAAATACATTTAGGTATTTTTTTAAAATCTGAAACAGTACAAATGTGTATTGGTGTGGTAATAATTATCATCCTTATTTTTCTGTAGCTGCAATTTGATCGATTTGGCCCTTTTTTGGAGAAAATAAATTGCTTTATTACGCTAAGCTAAAATACCAAATTATAAATGCTGGACGTTGACATTGCAGACAGTCTAATACATAAATATATATTTCGATGAAACGCGCCACTCTTTTGCATAAAAACGTTTTGTAAAGACGATCGGGGATTCGAAATATTAATATAGCCCACGGCCCGTGAGCTTTTTCATTTCTTTGATATATTCGTAAGAATACGAAATTATAAAGATATATCTTACGGCACGTTTCGGGGAGTGAAAATTATTATTGAGCTTTGTAGTCAACACAGACTTCCATATGCGTAAGTGGAAATATTGTTATTGTACGATAACAAAAGTTAGTGGGAAAGTGATAAGCTGCAGAAGCCACGATCTCACGCGAACGAACCGAAATCTTTCTTTTGATCCGGGCGAGTCTTTCGAAGAGATCAATTTGAGAAGCTTTTATTGTGGGAACATTACGAGCCCATTATGTTTGACGTCGAACGTAAAACTGCGATGAAACCTTTATGCCGCCATTAAAAAGTGAAATTGTAGACGATTATTTTGACGTAATGTCAGTTCGACGATTTCCCCGCGTCGCCTGTCCTCTTTGTGCCCATTCTCGGCGTCGCGCGTTTCACTTCGGTCTAATACTTTTTATCATTATTAAAATGTTTCGCGACTTACGAGTGCTGTCTCTTTTCTCGCACCGAACGGCACTTTACGGTTCGGTCGGTGCTAGTGAAGATTCGCTTTCGTTTTCATTTCAACATATTATCTCGACATATATAGTATACTGTGTACGAGATAAGTCAACTCATGTTAAGATCGCCGTACTTAATATGCTGTGTCGCCGATTTGTCCGTATATTCTAGAGTAGAGTATGCACCTGGATTTCCACGAGCCACGGTCCGATATAAGTATATGATATCAAAGAAAAAATTCCCAACCCCAATTGACTTGGACCCCACAAATATACTAATTAAGCGAATAAGACTATGAAGAAAAACCGGTGTCGAATGAAAACTAAATACTCTACTAGACTCGGAACCGTGTCGTATTAGAGCTCGTTAATGAATGCGATAAGTTCTGGAGACGCCAGACGTCTGGAACCATTAGGGCAGATGAAATAACAGACCGAAGATAATCTCGGATGATGGATGGAGCGCCTTCTTCGAGAAGAGAATAATGAACTCGAAAAGAGCCGAGCGCATTAGCTCGCTATAAACTTAATTATTGACATCAAGTTAAGTTAATGATTCTTTTTTAAGCCAATTAATCTACTTTGCTGGTCTCTATTCGAGTTGATAATTTCGTGAAATTTATTTTGGAAACAAATCTCATAATTTATTTATTTATTAAACTATAGACAGTATTTAAATCTCATAATATTATATTGTAATCTATTGTTTCTCTGCTGAGCAGTTGCAACTGAGCGTTGCCATTATGAGTGATGTATATTTGGATGCATTAGCACTAAGTACCTATCAAACCCCAAAGCTAGAACGCGACGTTTTGATTCAGTCATGTCCTCGTGTCTCTGGTTTCCGATATGCACAAACAATACACAAATGTGACGCAATGTAAACAAAAGACCTGATTAAATATTAACTTCTCGCAAATACAACGCTCCGCAACTAGTGACGAGGCAACAAAGAAACGGAATATTCCGTAAGCAAAGACAGGCTTTGCCCTCCTCGTTAGTTCTGGAGTTTTTACGTCTAACGAGTATAACCAGTCGAGTATTCGAAATGCGGCTCAGTTCGAATACTCCGAAACTAAATGTCCTCTTCGTTTAAGTTTCTTTATAAAGACACACGCACGGGTGCAATCGACACAGCCTCGCCGCCATTGCGACACTCAAATAAAGAGTCGGCTCTCGAAGGCACGAGCGCTAAGTGAAGCGTTCCACTTCTGTCTTCGGCGCCTGCTTCCGATCAAATTATTCGATTTTCAGCGGAGCCGGCCATAATTTCCACAATAACAAGAGTAACTCGAGTACCTTTCGCGCCGTCCTCGATTCCATAATTTCGTTTGATTTATTACGATAGCTCGGATAATTGCTCACGACAGACAATTAAGTGTGCCGCGTATCGTCTTTGAGCAGTGCCAATCTCGTCTCGGCGGTGTCGATACCGCTCTCCTCTTCTACGTACGTCAAATCGGAGCGTCCATCCGTCGGCTCAGAGGGCGTCGCTTTTCACCGTTCTCGGCTTTCGTTTTTGTTTCGCGTTTTCAGCATGATAAATGAAATGATTAATAGTTCTCGGAAGCGCGTCTCCGGCCGATACTTTTTATTGATTTACAACCCCGCAGATAGTGGTCAATTTGAATCTGAAATATGCTCCGATAGATGTGTGGACCGAGGCGACTCGTTAGCGTTTTTTCCACATATTTTGTGCGACGTAAACGGCGACCGGTCGTTCCGAAGATCCCTTGCGCGAGGTAGTTCGACTCTTGTCATAACAAGATACGCGCCCGGCTCAAATGAGACAACTCACGAGTCTCGAAGGAGCGATCGAAACATTTCCGCATAATAATAACGCCAGCCCCGTCTCGGCCGAAACTTTCATCCGCGGGGCACAAAAGACTTAGGTGTTGTCGGCGAGATTTCGAGAGCGAGCGCGCAAAGGCGGCAGAGTCGTAAGTCGCCGAGTACGTGCCGATCTCGTAAATCCTGTTAATCCAGGAATGCCAAACTTTGCCAATTTACAGCTCACGACCGCTCTCGGCCGGATCGAGGCGAGCGTCGTGTGCGGTCGGAGACGCGCCGACGTCATCTGCTTCGAACCCGTTCATAATTGCGACTTTCGTAAACATCTATCTTTACTCCCAAGAAGTATAAAGAGGAACTTTTCCGAGAACTTGAACCGCTTTCGCAGTTGCGATCGGGGGCGATCTCGAATCGCTCCCGCGGAGTGCCATCTGACTCTTGGACATGTTCCCAGCTTGTGCCCCCGCTCGACAATGATTGAGATCTCAGTCGAACTCCCCGTTCTTCCGATGGACGGCAAAGCTCATGGAACTCGTTTGGATCCTTATGATAATTCGCAAGTTGAGTCGTACAATACACTCAACACACTCACAATTATATTATTAAAGGAAATTTCGAATCCGCGTCCTCGAATTTGAAAGTGCGTCGAGAGCTCGGAAGGAATGATGTAAATGAAATGGAATATGATAAGATAAAGCGGCAATAAATGCGAAGTTCCAAACACATTATGAATAAATTATCATACCTAGAAACTTGAATTGGAATTATGCAAATGTTGGCTTTATTACTCCCGTCACTAATTTTAAATAATTCGATATGCCTGTATTCATTATGAGTGAGTTTGCCCTTCCTAACTTCAAAACGCGAGTTCACCGGAACATTCCACTATTAGGCGGTATTGGAGCCCTTCGAGTTCCCTCGTTGTTCGAATCAAATAATCTTGTGTCTGCGTCGAATAATGGCAAATTCTTCATTGAAAACCCTTTAGTTTCGTAAACTATTGCACTAGTACGAAGGAAATAACTGCGAGTTTGCACCAACAAGTGTGTCCGGCTGTTCAACGAATAACCTACATTAATATTGAATAATTTATCGTCTTCCGAGTGAAGGTACTCGTAATGTAATCACAAATTTAAAAACTCGCTATCCTAATTATTTCGACAGACACCACGAAATATAATTTACCCGGTTAGCATCACTGGGACCGCAAACACAACTAGTGGAAAATATGATTACGATAATTACGATACAGAAATACAGAATCGTCGTTTGCCGATAGCAAATTCAATCTGTTAGCTCGAATTTATTATTGAAAATGACTATAAACTGGATCAATCTGCATTTAGACTTCGCTGGCGTGTGGATATTTCACGATTACGATTCGTTTTACAAGCGCTAGTATCGCTTTCATTACGGATAACATCCGCTAAGTGGTATACATGGTCTGGTCATAATTAATTTTTGCTAATGTACGGTCAGCGTCAAACGCGCGCGAAACGTAGGAGCGAGGAGTGTTCGTGACGCCGAGTCCCCGCTGAAACGACAATTTGTCACGGCCTACCCCCCCTCGCCGACGTCTCACTATTCTTAAATCGTATTCAATCTGCTGAATAAAAGCACCCGGGGAGTCATTTCTCTCGCGCCCTTCTTTCTAGACGTTTTTCTGAATGCCCCTATGTTGATTGGCCGTTGCGGTTACACTTTCGTCGAAGGTCAGCTCCGAACGTCTTCGGGATCGCAAACGAGAATAAAACTGACGAACCTGAACGATCGACGATAGAATCTCTGGCTCGCGATTGGGTCGCGTACACTCTAATATTTTCCAGACGATCATTTTAGGAAGAAGACTCTCCAATACGACGAACTTTTGCTAATCTCGCTTGGAAACTATTCTTAGATAGCTGCGACTTTCTTCTTCTAAGCATATTGATGATATGAAGGACATTTACATTAAAACAGAGAAATTAAGAATAAACTAATAATAATACAAAAGAAAATATTAAAGTTCAAAGCGATAGTTCTGAAAAGAACTTTGACAAACATTATGCAAAGAATGATTCCTAATACTAAACTAAGTAGCTTTGAAAATTACTTTTTAAGTGAAGCATAAAAATGTTTAAAAAAAAATCGAAATATTCAATGTCGTTCGCGCCCACTGCGTAAGGAGCCCACTGCCCCTCTATCGTCGAATTAGTTAATCGATGCGCGGCGTCGCCGGCATTCTTTAATTTCATGACATTTTGAATGGCAAGTCCGATTTCAATAATTAAAAAGTAATCATCAGGTATTGAGACAGTCTTGAATATTAATTACATTATTTATTCGAAAATGTATAAATGGTAAGGATAACACGGTCTGATTTTGATCGGCATTTCTATCAATTTGTTAAATGTAAAAAGCAGTTAAAGCTACGAAACTACAATAGTTAGACATATGCTCACGTGTCGAACATTTTTTTGTCCTTTTAATAATACTTTTCGCAGCGTCTGCGAAGAAAGACATTTACGGCAATTTTTTTTACGCCTTCCGTTGGTTTTAGTAAGACTAAGAATGTCTATAGATGCCTATAGTAATCAAGTACTAAATATATCCTACGTTACTCAGTGATAATGTGGCTTTCTAATAAAAAAAGAATTGTTAAAATCGGTCCAGTACTTTTTGAGCTTATCCGTTACATACAAAAATACAAATCTTTCCTCTTTATAATATTAGTATAAATTAAGACAATAATTATTATATACGTATTTTTATTTAATTAGTTACCTACTCCCAGTGAGGCCCTATGCAAGTTAAACCGCTGATCTAAAACCGTATTTACTGCTCGACCGCCAATAGAAGTTAGCTTTCATTTCAAAAGACGTCGGGAACTTCGCCACCAGGTGACGGTGCCCCGCCGACATTTACTTACGCTGTAACTTTGCCTTAATATTTGTACGAGTTTCGTTCGGCACGCGACCGCGACTCCCTCTGGCGGCTGATTGATCTATAATTCATCAATCAATGTTTATTTTTTGCCTCCTTTGTTGTGTATTTATCGAAGGCTGACATCTATTATGCGGAGCCGAAAAGCGCCGCTCACTAATTGAAGGGAGTCGAGAGCCTTTTCGTTTTATTTCCATCGAATTTATTGAAATCGTTTCAAAGGATCATTACTGTATTTTATTAGAGAAATAATCCACTCAAAGATCAATGTCTACGTATCTCTCGGCCGGGGGGGGGGTTTTGGTTGGGGTTTTTGGAAGTATACCTATAAAACATATTCCGTAAGCAACTAATTTAGTCCAACGTATTTGTCGCAATCACGTTTTCGCTCTGAAACGAGGTTTGACAGCGACAAATAATTTTTGCGGCGCAAATCGATCGGAGTGATTAGTCGAACGATATATCGGCTTCCCCCGGGACCATCCATAACACGTCACTTTATAATTGCGATCCACACTGACACAGCATCGAGGACGCTCTCGAGATGATACGGTTCCGCTTACTATCGGATTTAACATTTTTCTCATTCTCTTCATTACATCAAGATAGAAGTAAAACGCGCAGTATTAACATTTTAAGTGAATAGGTATAGGTATATTCCTTTGATACAGAAAGCAGATTCGAAGCGTCGTCGTTAGTTAGCAATTATTGGGCGGGAAAAGCTTATATTGTCAGTGAGCAAATCCGTGGGGCGATCGCCGTTCGTCTAATTGATTTAGAGGCGCTTAGTATTCAGTTTTGTCGCAGCGTTTTGGCACTTCTCAATTAATTCCTCTTTGGCTTGTTCGAACGGAACTAATCGCTCGTCGCCTAACGTGGAGCGACGGATTTGAAAGAATGGATCCCGAGCACCCTTCAAAAATGTGACCAAATCCAACCTTTTACCGTAAAAAACGCATTTTAAAAGTTAATAAGATCTTTATGATTTTTGCATTCACGTCGCAAAATAGATGTGATAAACAAATTACAAATTAGCACTACTAATAAAAGCAGTGCAAAATAAGTAGAGAGAGACGAACACGACCGCAAAAGTAAAAAAGCAAGAATACGTCGTGCTTTGCGTCTATTATTAATCGATTATTTGCGCGTAACGTCACGTTAATTCTCTGCGATACAGTAGAGTGGCTAAATGTCCTTCAATAGGACTTCCTCTCCCGGCCGCTGCGCTAATATTTCCTTCATTAATTGTATTTGCACTGTCCTGATTCCCTTTTTTCGCCGATTTTAATTCGTACCTGCTCACTCGAAACGCTATGCTATTAATGTTCGTTACATTTTTTACTTAGTGTATTTCTTACTTCAGTAGTCTTATTATATCGCGTCCTAAAGTCCTGCAGTTGAAAATATAAACATATTATAGTAAAATATCGTTCTCAAAAATGCTTGGAAATTTAAGAATTTTGGAATTGGAAGTTTTATTATTTTGACAACCCTCTTCGAGATAAATAGATCTTGTGCTAGGCAAACAGTGGCTGGCATTAGTTGTATGTTTAGCGGCCAAATAAATTACTTTATATAAATTATATATGTCGTGTAATTTAAAAATAGAACGATTTTCTACTCCGCATAGAGATAAAATAACAAAGGCTTCATTTATTTTTCTAAGTGGCTAAATACATAAATAAATATATAAAATCTATTGTTATTATTAGTGGTTCGTCAACTTCGCCATTAGTTTTAAAGGTTTCAATTTCCGCGCATTATTTGAGAACAGCACTATGCGAGCGTTGGCCGCGACAAGGCATCGACGGACGTACGTATTCACACTTTCGTCCATCGATGCCTTTCTTGCTTCAGTGAACTTCCAACTTCGTTAATAAATCTAATCGCTAAGACGCGTACAACGAGGTGCCGGCGAGCTATCCTAGCATAGATTAACTATTGCAACGGTCGAAACCTTCATTATTTTTTTAGATTTTATTGCACACGATCGCATTATATGTAAATAAAAATCGATTTTATTATACAAAATTGTGGCCCAAAGTTTTAGAAGCCAAAGTTCGGTCGAGAGCAAATCGGCTGGTCAAAATATAGCGCAAATCTCCTGTTCTATTATTTAATGAAAGAAAGTGCTAAGAATAGTATCGTTTCTCGCTCATCGAAAACGTGAAAATTGGTAATAATTGATGTGCGTCTTAAGGTTCTCGAAATATATTCGTATCGCAGTCGAGTTCGGTCAAAAAAAGCGTCGGCACAACTGTGGAGCGAATAGTCAAAGTCGAGTTTAATTAAGACGAACCCGCGCAGCCCCCTCCTTCGTTAAAACTTGAATCGTTTTTAATTAAAATTCAAAGAAATGTGCGTCGATACCGATCGCGATAAAAACCCTCCGTTAATAGCTTTTCAGAGTTTAAAAAGGCGCTAGTTCGGCGCGCCCTCGCTCCTCTTTGGACGACTTGCGGCTCAAAGACTAGCGCGCCCCGACTCCCTCGCTTGCAACAAAATATAATAAGTTCAAGTCATAAAGGGCACGCTCCAATGCAAACCTACTCGCATCGGCTTCATCCCGTGTAGAGCAACGCATCGTAGCAGAATTCACAAATATGATTACCTAAACAACTTCGCGTCCACTTTCACTTATTCGAATTCCAACTTTCTCTAAAGAGCTCATCTAATGCGCTCCGAAAGGGTCTCTGAAGGATTAATTGACACTCGAGAGCGTTTTGAAAGTAAGAAGGGATCAAAAGAGATGTTATTACCTACAATGACGCAGTTTAATGTTCGCGCGAAAGGCGCTTCGCATTAACGAGGAAGATGAGCAATATTAATTCGGTTATTTTACGTTCTGGACTCGCGAGCGTTGATCGAACTCGTTTATACATTCGAAGCGAACCGTCTGAAGCGGTCAGCATCCGTGTAGGCATAATATCGTTGCGACGGGGTGCGGTCGCCGGCCTATTACGCGAGCTGTTCGTAAACGAACAAAGATAACAAACGGACGGAGTTAGAGGGATCGCGGAAATCGCTCGCTCCACGGCTACTGAAATCGAATCGCCGAGACCTCGCCGTAGTCGGTGTGCGGTGACCCCGGTCCATTAAACGAGCTATTAGGCCCCCTTCGGCGCGCGTTCCGCCCGAGATCGGCTCTAAATAGATGTAGGTCAGGGAAACCTAGATTTATTTTAATTACTTTGCGCCGATGCGATTCGCCTTAATTTATATTTATCAATCATTAAAAGAACCCGGCTCTCAGTGACCCCGCGATCTAATGATTATTTGATTAGTTATTATAAAAACCGAACGATGAGCGACAGAAGGGCTCCACACGTGGAAAGGCCGCGCCTGACGGGCGCTCTGGTTTGCGGATCTCGCAGAACACGGAGCCGTGGAGCGCGGAGCGCCGTTGTAAGTCGCTCACAAAGCCCACGGTATGGTCACATTGAGCCGCAATATCGAACATTTTCACATACTATATACATTAACCGCGACCGTTTTAATTCCGGCAATATTTTGACCAACAAAGATTTTTCAACTTTGGTGTACTGTAACTTTAGTTTATTACATGTTTAAGAAGACTACTACATGTCACTTCTTTCCTAAAATCGAAAATTAATTTTTAATTAATATAATACATCATGTGCATACATCAATTACATGTGAAAAGTATATTAAAAGGTTTTCGAACTAATACGTCTCATGGCCGATAGACCGCTGGAAATAGGCTATCTTGGAAAAGTCCTACTTCGACGAGAAACGAAGAGAAGAAGGAAGTCAAATCGTCCGCTGGAAAGACGACCTTCCAAAAATGCCGGCCCAGTTCGTGCCAGGGTAGCGATCTGTCTGTCTTGTACAAGATGTTAAAATAAAGTACTAGTGCAACTACAGTAGAACCTTTCTTATTTTTACATTTTGGGAAGACGGTGAGTAGAAAAATTTATTAAAAGTACGCAACGAAACGAATACTATAGTTTGAGCGGTTCAATTCTGATCGTTCTTAATTTAGTGGAGATTGATCGTATCTAAAATAACCGCAACCCATTGATAACTCGGATGCCCCCGGGCCAATATCCTTCCCACCCCTGCTCCCTCCTGTAGCGGTCAGGTGCATTCCCCTCGGTTGCGGCTTGATTTGCCAACAAAGCGCTTTCAACGCTTTCACGGTTCCGATACAAGTCTGATCTACATCTGCTCCTCGCCGACTAAAAGGGATCCCGGTCGAAATACCTCCGCGAAAAATACTACTTCTCTTGCGTCAGGGTAAGTTGCAGCACGGTTATGCTACAACACTGATTTTCAGCAAAACCCTACTGTTGTTGCTGTTGTTGCTGTGGACAGCGCTCATACAACCATTTGATATTATATAACAGTGGCTTTAGCTTTATCCCCTTTGTCGTAATTTTCTTTACCTCCGACCCTCGCTTACAGTTTTAGTTATCGGCGCTCAAACCTCTTTGAGACCTCATATAACTACAATCCCATGTTATACCAGACGACCTAGATATAGGTTCTGGCGCTCTAAAAGGCGTCCCCCATCTTACTACTTCAGAAATAAGATTCAAATTGGCCCACGCGCCCCCGCGTGTCTGCCGATGCTAATCTGCCTCCCTCAGTGAGCAAACGGCGCCAATAAACTTCCGCATTAAAGGCTTATAGTTTTAAAGCACAATGCACGACAATGCACGAGCTCAGTGCATTACACCTCGTTTCATCCAATTATTGTATCTCTATGGCTTCGGCGACGATGCCAGGATTTTTAACTCGAATCCGTAACCTTAGGGTCTTCTCTGATTCGGAACAGGCCTCCCAATGGTACTGGGCAACTAATTGGTGGTTAGGTCTTTTCTACATAACAAAAGAGATGAAACAAGCTTAGGTCGTTCAGTATATCATTGTTTTCGGGCTGGTCTGAATTAATTTAATTCTTCGAACAATCGAGGAGTTAACATCTCCGATGATGATGCCGTCAGCACGTGATGGCGAACTTCGAGAACTTCTTCTCGCTCACGTCGGCCGACGGTCCGAAAAACAATGATATGCTGAACGATGACCGCGAAAGGCTTACACAATTTATTAAGCTTAGATTACTTTATTCAGTCAGAAACGACCGGGTCGTGCTAAATTCAATTAAGGAGCATCGCCCACCTTTTTGATTATTTTTAAATTTGGCCATTGCTTTGTTGCATTTTTACTATTTTATAAATTAAAATCGGACTTATTAAAGAGCGAAAATTAAAAAGAAATGGGAGCGTTATCCACGTGAACGCCAACTACCCCGCGTGAGAGAGCTACATAAGATATGGCGACTTCAAAATGTAATGATCATTTTGTGCTAGAGGAGGATAGATAAGCAGAGTTCACGTATCGGAAGGTAAAATGGCCGAGCAATACAACATCACAACAAGATGTCGACCTCTGATGAGGTTTGAAAGAAGTGGTTTTTAATGGGGCATAATTGTATATCGAGGCTATTAAAGACTAAGATATACTTGGTATAAAACATTTATTATATTGGAATTAATGAAACTAAGTATTTTATTGTGTTGAAATGTGTATGTGGTAAGCAGTTGTTTTTATTGTTTTATTCAAATTTCGATAGTTGTATTACCTTCATTTCCCAAAATAAACGGTATTTAGACCGTTTGCCTTCTTAATCAAAATGTTATTTTGTATATTTTTTACTCGTTCTTATGAATTAACCGCTTCTTTGAAATTGATATTGTATATCATTGTGTTAAGATGACCGAATGTCGGAAACGAATTTACCCTTTAGGTCATTTCCGACGACTCGTCCTGAGAACCTGTAGGATATCTTTTCTAATCTCTCTGAGTCACTCATTTGCCACTGGCTACGCTTTAACGAAATTAGTTGATCAACATTGATTTGTTTTTTATATCTTATTTTGTTATTTAGTAAGTAAGCCAGGGACCGAGATATTGCTTAATTGTATTGTGAACTTAAACCTTCTTAAGGTATTTCCCAAAGAAAGGCACCAACGAAGAATGAGCGAAAACCGTAATTGTATGTTTCCACTCGGTCTCTGACTAGAGTTTAAGACAAGCTTGTACTCTTTACGAGCACTCCGCACTCAGCCCTACGTAAGGCTGCCTATACACCTTTGTTGTTTCACGAGGACAACCGGTTCAAAAGGCGTAGGAGGCTTTAAAATGCTTTTCAGATCCGTATCAATACACTGTAACATATGAACAGGTAGCGTGTCGTTCGAATATGGGACAAATCGCACATTTTTGTGAAGGACTAACACGTCACCTGGTTTTTAAACCGCAACAACATTTTTCTAGTGTAAACGGAGCCTTAAAAACATTACAGAGCAGAAAAGCCGCCGTTTCAGATTTTATTGAGCCATAAAGTGGCGCAAAAAACATAGAAAAGATGAAAGCTTTCAAATGAGTTTCGAGTGAATGTGCTTCGGACGCCTACGCCGCCCTCTGGCGGTGCCTTCGCCACGTTCGGGCCCGTCTTACTCTAGCTATCAGACCTCACGTCGGGACCGATGTTTTTATTACTGTTTTATGCTTCGTGACAGTAAACTGGTAATTTCAAAAATGATCAATGAATACCCGCAAATGACAGTGTGTGAAATAAATGTAGGATAAATTTGCACGTTTCAAAGAATACAGCGAACCGCTAAATAAATTTAAGGAGTGGACCGCCTCTCGCAAACGCACGTACGTCTGCTGCAAACATCCGAAACGCCGTGTCGTAGTTAACAATAAGTTAACTAGTATACATCGCGTTTTACACGTTTAAAAGTGGTTAATTTGAATATAGACAATGTTTTCGTTTTGTATCAACGAACGTTAGATACAAAACGTCAGACACACGAGCAAAGCGGACTTAATTAATTGCTAAATGTTGGCGTAAAATTTACGTGACAAAACGTATATAACGTAATTTAAAACGACGTCCGCTGTCCGATAATAATTCCGTGTTAAATGCAGCACTCGGGCAGAAATGTTGATGATAATATTTCAGTTGGGAGCCGGGCTCGGCGAGAAGACGTAAAGACCTAAAGGTAAATTATGAGTTTGGGAATTAGCGCGGTGCATTTAGTGAAATACAGCCCATTAATGCCAATTCGGCAATCACGCGTGTCGGGTGTCACGTACGGTGGCGTCGACACCCGACTGATGTGGGCAGGTTTTAGAATTTAAAGCTTTACAACGAGTACTTTTCGTTCCTTCAATTTGCGCATCTTCTCCGTATGGATCACATTTGCTGTAACGGAGGGTTTTTTGTGCGCTTAAAAACATTTGTAGGCTGTATTTTAAAATAACTAGGACGAAGTAGAAAACCAAGAATAATACGACATTAATAAATTTGAATTTGAATTTTGAAAAGAGACTAATTGTATTAATTGAATTAATTAGTGGAGCGAGCGACCGACCGTAACGTATGTACCTATTGCAAATAAGGCATAATACGAATCGAGTGAGAAAAAGCCATCACTCGGCTTAACGACGAATGTTATGAGTAACTTGGGGCGAAGTTTTCGCGGTGTTTCATACCGCTCTCATTAAAAGTTGGCGAGTAGTGAATGCGAAGTGTACGTAAAACAGGGCGAATGCGCTGGTAACACTTTAAGAGAGTAAGTCATGACGAAGGCGCTAAATATTACTTATCTTGTCACGGGCCAACGGCGGACTTCGATTCCCTGATACGGCACGTTACAATAAAAAGAGATGTTAGATAATCTTCGTCTAAACAAAAACACATAGTGAGCAACTACGGAGTTTGTGTACTTCGCAGTTTAGTGTATTTAATAGCAGATTCTATAGGCGAAGTACAACATGTCAATTCAAATTCAATTGAATTTGATCATCTTTTTAGGTCTAAAATCACTCTACATTGATGTATTCGATGACACGGGCGGGACTCGAACCGACGACCGAGGCCACCGGTGCTGCCGATCGAACCAATTGAACTACCGTTTCTCGTTCGGCATCACAGAATTCTTCGACCCATTGAAACGAATAAAAGTATTTGTAATCCTCCCCTTCGTCCTCTGTTGAAGTTAACAAGTGGCGGCCCTAACTCCCGGCGGAGTTCCGGGTTCAAAACTTGGGGAAGTTTCGAGCGGGCTCTTTTAAATTTACAACGTACTGCAACAAGATGCGGACGGCGTTATTGTTATTTATAGAGGTCCGAAACACCAGAACGAGCCACGGAGTGCACTACCCGGCGTCGTTCCCTCTGCCCCGGCGGACTGGGAAACGGGGCTGTGCCGAGGGACTACTTTCGACGTCAGCGATTTCCTTTCCCGCGAATTAGATCGTTCGAATCTAAAGAGCTTACTTTCTTACTTATTCACCAATTAACTACTGATCGGGCTAATTAAGCGATTACCGGGAGTAGGAAAAATAGCGCCGAATAATTTACAAGATGAAGAAAATAGATCCCCCTATTAGAGTTGAGGGGGTTACAACTCTTAAGACAGGTGCAAATTAAATAAAACATTTTTAACGGATTAAACGATAAATTTTTAGTTTAACTTATTTGCAATTTATTTATACTACGGCCTGACGTCTCGGATGCTTTGGAGCAGTGGGGCTGAATATTGAGGGTGGCCCTAATGTCATTTGTCTTGGCTGGGAAGGATCGCTCCTAGGTAAGGCAAGTCATAAGACTGTCTGCCTGTGTAATTTTACGCGCAATACTGTTTTGTGTGAACGGTGTATATGTACGGTACTGAGCTTTCTATTCGAGCATAAATTTGGCCAATTTATTATAAATAAGAGTAAATTAATTAAGTATATTGAAGTTTACTAGTGACATTTAATCTTGCGTACTGAATAACTAACATAATGTCCTTTTTTCAATCGTACTTCTGATATGTTCAATAAAACACCCGATGTTACGGTACCTATACAGCAGCTGTTCTTAAATAATGCTTACGCGAGTGGTACACATTTAAATAAAACTCAAAAGGCGATTTAGGGACTTAAATGTTTTTATCAATTCAAAAAGACTCATTCTTGTTGGGTAAAACAGTCGACAACGCACGAATTATATTTTTACTTGCGAATCACTGAGTAGCATTTCTACCTTATTTTATTTATATATATACACTCTCTTTCTTAATTTCTATCTTTACAAACAGAATTTGAGGATTTCTTAAATATCTCCGTGACGCAGTAGTGCGCGGTGGCGTGCGGGACAAAGCGAGATCGTTAGAGTCGGGTGTTAACGACAGCGAGCGAGTCGCGACCGCTTCAATATGTTCCGATTCTAGTATAATAATTAAGAAAAGCAGGCGAGCGGTATGATTACGAGAGCCCAAGCTCTCGTTTGTGTTCGCTATAACGAACAATGGTCAGGAATACCCCGCGATCAGAGACGAGGTAAGGTGAGCGAGGCACGGGAACATAAAAAAAACAAAGCTTTTAATTTGATTATACATAGTCGTTATACATGCTTCAGTTGCAGTAATGCACATATAAGGAGATCGATTATGATTTTTGTGCGAAATAAAACGTGTTGTTGCTTTAATCTGAAAGATTTAATGTTCTTGTTATTTAACAATCTAAACTTACACAAACTACTACAACAATTTTAATATAAAAAGAATTACCTGAAAGAAACAACAAATTAAGTTATTTCGGCAATCTTATAAGAACAATCTTATTAATAACAATGGTAAATTACTTATTTATAAATTGTAAAGAATTTCACTTCATCACTCCATTCACGATAAAAACCCGCCATCTTGACATTATGCATGACGTTACACCACGTCACACATAATGTCAAATCTTTAGAATTTGCGGGAAATTTAAATCCTCTTACACACACATTTCACTTATTGTGTAACAACTTTAGTGTTATTTTAAAAATTGAAAAAGAATTCGACACGTACAGGCCTAGAACCGGCATCGTCAGCGTTCCGTGCTGTCTCTGACGACGTCGGTTCAAGTTATGCCCTAGTCCACATTTTTCAATATATTTTCAATGTTTAACTTATATAGTGCCAACATGTGCAATAATAACGTGTGAAAAATGTTAGTTTTCAAGCTTTGGTGTTATTTTAATAAATATACATATAGTTATAGCAGCATATTTTTTAAACGAATTAGGATATACTAAAAGAACCGACACTTTCAAGATAACTTGATTGACGTGTTAAATTGGTTAATAATACTAAAGTAGAGTAGACTTAATACTCGCAGATTCAGTTTGTCTTAAACTTAGAAATAAATTGACTGTACCATACAATTTACCTGTACCATACTTCACGACCCTTAAACCAGCCATGGAGAGGGAAAAGGAACTTAATCGTAAAGTCAGTCAAAGTTTAGCTAACTCCAATAATAATGATAATTATTACCCACCTAACTTTTTAAGACTAGAAAGTTGAGAAGAATCATAGTACATCTTTTTCCACTTTTCCCACAAGTAAGACAGCTCAAAAAATAAGCCTATATACTTATATACTTCCTATCCTAAGCTTGATTTCGTTCATGAACTTAATTTTTTGTACGATGTTTAGTAACGCCAAACGGTTACGGAGTAGGGTAGGACGGTCGACAGCACCAAAACCAAGCATAAGTGTCACAACATTCACGTACCTTCATTAAAATCCTCGAACAGATGTGTTGTCCAGAATGCGAACCATATCTAAATATGAAGTCTCGCGGGTCCCGTCAGTCGACTGGCTTATCTGCGTAACACAAAGGCTGCAGCGACGAGGGTCGACACAATCACGCGCGCTCTAACATCACTTAGGTACATAATTACACAACTAATTCCCAGCGAAGGGGGACGACTGCCGCCGGGCGTCTCCACTACCGTCCCGAAAATCTCTATCACTCGCGCTCGAATTCGTGGAGACTGCAGTTCGAACCGATCCGAAATTGATACGACGAGAAGGTCGTTTCGGTCGACGGACACGTGCGCCTCCCGCGAGTTCCAACGCGCGACTGCCCGACCAAGCGCCGGCCGCGTAGCCCGTAGGCCGCAGCTCGTAGCGGACGGCGACGTGCGCTACGACCGCTACGGGTGGCGCGCGCAAACATGTTTTCGTTCGACATCGAGGAGGAAAATACGCGCTCGGATGATCACACCGATTTGGTATCAACCGCGGAAAACGCGTGAGTCGGAAGACTATCGAGATATCGCTCTCGGAAAGAGATTGTCTTTTATTATTAGAGAACACGCTTCACACCGCGCGGCTTACATATATTTTAAGGGGCACTCACAACATCATATCAAAATAATATTACAACCGCGCGGCCGCGCGCTGACATAATTGGGCGTCGTACTACAAAAATCTAAAATACCCTCAAAACTGATTTCTATTTTATTTCAATCAGGGTAACACGGAACGAAATGTAGATTTACTACCAAGCTAAAATAACTAATATATAAAGCTGAAGAGTTGTGTCTGACTTTTAAGATGAACTTGTAAAAACGACGGGAAGAGACGCAATCGACGTCGTGGCCATAGCTTAAAATCTTAAATCAATAAAGAATTTTGGATGCCCAAAATAACTATTCTAAGCGGATGAAGTCGCTGACACAGCTAGTAATATAATCATACACAACAAAATTGACTCAATCTTATTACTTAGTAAAATTAATTTCCACAGACCACGCATCTCCTCACGCAAAAAACTAGTTTTTTCCACTAACACCAGTCATACTAATTATGCCAAACATAGGGTTTTTTCGCGGTCCTGTGAACTTTTTAACAACAAATTTTGTGACGTTGATATTTGTTGGAATAGATTAAACATTTTCAAAAAAGTAATATTAAGCAAATTGCAAGTTGGCAAAATTTATATTTTTTATCTTTAATTCCTTTTTTTCCTTCTCACTTCAGTAAATTAGCCCGTTATAGCGATGTAAGCAATCTGTAAGGCCTAGCATCGTTTATTCTTTAAGTTTTATTGTTAATTAAGCGTTTGATTGTAAGTTCAAAAAAAATAAAATAAAGTAATGTAATATAATATAATATTATTTGATTATTATTACTAGCGGCCCGTCCCGGCTTCGCACGGGTAGACATAAATAGGTAGATATTTAAATTATAAGCATGCTAATTAAAACGACCATGAATCACTAAATTAGAAAAAAATGTATTGCGCGTCCTCTCTGTTAACGACCGTTGTCTATCTCGCTGTATCAGGAGCCGCGAGCTGCGAGCGTTCAGTGTTAGAGTCCCGTGCACGCGTTCGCGAATTACTAGCTCTATTTTCTGCTGCGAGCGCTCGGCGCTTGACTGTCGTTCGTACTTCGTATAGCTGCGACGATCTTGCATTTCGTTCTGCAAGACGAACTGGACGTTCGACGCTAGATTCTCTGGCTCGCGATTGGGACACTAATACTTTCCAGACAATTATTTTTAGAAGAAGACTCTCCAATACGACGAACTTGTGCTAATGTCGCTTGGGAACTATTCTTAGGTATTTACTTTAAATCAGTGAAATTAAGAATAAACTAATAATAATAAAAAACAAAATATTCAAGTTCAAAGAGATAATTCCGAAAAGAACTTTGACAAATATTATGCAAAGTGTAATTCCTAATGCTAAAACTAAGTAGCTCTAAAAAGAACTTTTGTGAAATAAACCATAAAACTGTTAAAAAAAAAAACGAAATATTCAATGTCGGTCGCGTGCACTGCGTAAGGAGCCCACTGCCCCTTTCGTCGAGTTATTTACATGATATCTTTTGAATGGAATGTCCGATTTCAATAATTAAAAAAGAAATCATCAGGTATTGAGACAGTCTTATTTATTTGGATAAAAAATTATAAATGGTATGGATAGCACGGTCTGATTTTTATCGGCATTTCTATTAATTTGTTAAATGTAAAAAAATAGTTATAGAGACGTAACTACAACAGTTAGACATATGCTCTCGCGATGTTTTTTGTACATGTTGATATTTATTTATATAAAAAAAAAAACAATATTGTTATTTTTAACAGGGAACATGTCTTCGGACCCAGTGGTGCTTCGGCACGGTGGATGGCGTGTCTCCAAGACCGCGAGGTGAAAGCTCCTGAATGGTTTTCGATAGAAAACCCTACAGGAGGCATAATGGTGGGGGCGTTTTCGCCCGTTTTAGGTGTTTTTGCCCTGCTGGGCAGTGGTGTCTTCGGGCGCGTGGGACGGCTGACTTCAAGTCAGCGTGCTGCCTCCAAGGTGGCAAAAGAGAGGTGCGGAAGCGGCTTCGGCCGCTTTAGGAGAGCTGCAGCTTCGCTGCGGCACTCGCCAGGGTGGGTCACGTGGTTAAGGCTCTGCTGATACCGTGGCTCATCCTTAAGCGATAAGACGGCGCAGTCGGTTTTTAGTGCGGTATGCCCACCTCTTTCGAGGTGGGAGAGACCCACATAACACCGCGCCGCGAGGGGTATGCTTAACAAACTCCGGGAGTGGACTGCGGCCATTCGGCTGTCTCTCCGCTGGCGAAGTGTGGCGGCATCGTCTTCCGCAGTCTCGCGGCACCCCTCCCCTTAAGGTGGTCACGGGCGAGCGACGGCCTTTGGTCCGTGTCCACTGGGGTGTGTTAGCGCAGCATTTAGGCCAAGGAGACAGGCTAGCTCGCTTTCACATATGGGCTGCCGCTTGAGCAGTCGTTAGACGTGTCAGCTTAACACAGAGCCGTACCCAGGGAGGCATTTTCCGACGGTACAAAAAAAAAAGGTTTTTCCGCCCATCCGAACGTCGATACAGAACAAATTATATGCTATGCTATGCTTATTATGCTTATAAACTATGTTATTAAATTAAAAACTAAGGACTCATTATTAATAAACGCCTCCAACTGAGGCGATTATAAATAATGAGTCCTAGGTAAGTATGTGTATCCACAATTTCTACAGCTTCACAGTTACCAGAAAAGACGTCATTTTTTCCTCTATGGAGGCAAGAATTTTCGTAGGCTATTATTTGAGACGTGCTGTAGCTAGGCGAACAATTTCGACTGGATCGGATGTGCATTAATTTAGTTTTTTTAGTATTGAGGACTAGACCGCAATCGTGTGACCATTTTAAAAGTATGTAAAAAAAAATTTCCCGTTTTGATACTAACGTTAATAAGATTGGCTACAACATGTTTTAGTTTTTCGCATAAATTAATGTCAATAGCTCGTATTTTATCGTAGCCTGGTGCTTTGTTCATTCTTATTGACTTAATCACTTTTTCTACTGAACTCGAATTCGCCGGCTTAAAGCGTATACAAATGTCTGTCACTGTCTGATAGACCGACTTTTCCAATAAAGGATTAGAACAATTAGTTATTATTTGTTTCACGCCCGCGTCCAAGGTACGCGCAAACTTCAAAGCGCAACTTCTTTGTGATTTGTTTGTGAACAGTTGCCGAAGCAGTTAAGTAAGGAAGCGTCCACCGATGATTTTATTTTTCCCGGTTATTTATTTAAAATGTCCCAGAGTGACCGCGGGTTATTTTTGTTCGCTAGAATGTTAGAAATAGTAATTTTATTAATCAATTTAGTCGCAAAATTTTGGGCTTTGTTATACTTTTGTTAAAAATAAAATTATTAATGTCTTTGAGCCATTGTGGGAATAAGTAGCCTTAATGATTTTAGCTTTCATCTATTCGTATAGTCTATAATATTGTCGAACATTTTTTGTCCTATAATTAATACTTTTCGCAGCGTATGCGAGGAAAGACATTTAACGGCTAATTTGTTTACGCCTTCCGTTGGTTTTAGTGAGAATTTACTATAGATGCCTATAGTAATCAAGTACTAAATATATGTTACTCAGGGATAACCATTACCTACAAAAATACAAATCTGTCTTCTTTATAATATTAGTATAGATAAAGAAGAGCGAAGAATGCTGAAAATCAGTGTTGTAGCATAATAACCGTGCTGCAATATGCTGACGTAAGACCCTTTTGGCATCATTTTAAACAAAATTTTATTTAATCTTGTCGTAGTATTATTATTTTACTTTTATTATTATTATTTTAATTACATTTATTTTTATCACGTCTTATTATTGTACAAAATGAATGCTAAATAAAGAGATTTATTATTATTAAGAATAGAACTGACCTGAGTAAGAAATCTACTCCAGGTCAGGCCGTCAGTCAACGGGGAGTGGAACGCAGGTCCATAACTTAAAAGTTCAGGAGGCAGGACGTCGTCAGGTAAGTGCTGGCGTGCTGTAAGGCGAGACCTAAAAACAGAACTTAGTGGAAGCATACGGTTTCACAGTAAAATGCGAACATATATAGTAAACAAAACTTCAGATATGTAAAGTAATCAAAAACTTTTTTGAACCTCATCTGCTCTTTCGCCGTCTCCGAAGCGAAACAAAGTTAGGTAGCAGAAATAGCTGAATTCAATACAATGGCATCTATTTAAGATTTAAGAGCTGCAGTAAACACGACACTAATAAGATACGAAGTTGCGGACAGCCGCTTCGAGCTGTCCCGCCGTGCCCCTCCGGCCACCAGCGACCGTCAACAATTAATGCGCTTTTGCCGCAAAAGAAAGACACCTTGTCCCGTGACGGGCTGATGCAAATTGAGCCTTCGAAGTAATCCAAAGTGACTCTCCGGTGCTGTCGAAACTTGAAATAATTGAAACGACACAGCGATAATGAAATTTTAATAAAAGCGCAACTTTTCTTGTTTCGTTACGTTTAGCTTTCGGAAAATTCGTATTATTTGGGCGGAGTTGTGAAAAGTTTAATCTTTTTACGCGTATTCGCTTAGAGAAAACGCGCGCGCCTTGATTGCCACACTCGCGAAGAAACGCGTAGAAGTAAAGGTTGTTGTGGTTTTATCATTTCGTTTTTACAAAAAAATATATACGTATAACAGGCGATGCGAGCAGTGTAAACGAGAAAGGATTCATCTTGTAAACTAACTGCGCTCTAGACCGACCGAGCTGGAAATTGCGCATCGACGACAACAGATAAATTATAAAAGAACACGCTCTCCCGTAGCTCTCTGTCGCGCCCGCTCGCCAAAACACATCGCTCCTTCATTAACGCGAACGTTCATTCCCTTTGGGGTCGGAAGGAGATCGCGCTTCGAGGATATAATATCACTTCTCTCGTCGCGCACGTGAAAAGAGAATGTTTTTATAAAGAGCTCCTTTATGTGACAAGTATTAGTCGGAGCGGCTCACCGGGGAGGGGGTCAGTCGAGGCCGGGGCGAGACGGAGCGGATGAAATATGAATACCGTTCATCTCGGTGAAAGCATAATTTTTACTCCGCTTCGTTAGAAGACCGCGTCTATTCATTTCAAACGATATTTGTCTAA